TGAGTACGCATGTTTATGTACCCAGTGTTTTTTATTGACTTTATATGCATCATTAAAGCATCCCTGTTCTTTTAGCTTACTGTAAATAATGAATCAAATTGGCTTACTCCGAATAAACAGTAGAGAGAAAGCATTATGGAACAAAAACAAAGAAAAGTTTTATCCACAATCATTAACCAAATTTGGCAGAAAACATCACCAGAAGCCTATAACGCCGATAAGCGTAATATTACATTTTATGGCAAAATGGCATTCTTGTTTTCTAGCGTCGAAAAAACCAAAATCAATATCGAGTCCGGGCATTATCTCGCTTATCTGGCGGTGTAGCGCCGTTCTGATAAATTAAATTCTTCGCGAGAGACAAAAAAATGCCGATAAATGTGACGGTTAGAAAATACATTTGTTTTCCTAGACACTTTGTTGCAGGCGGTTACAAAGACGTTATTGTTTTTTATGACGAGGGTTTCGGTAATGAGTTTGAGTTCGAAAACGGCCGCGTCCATCGTTGATCGTGTCTTCTAATCTGATAAAGTGGGTCTCCGAAGAAACGGCTGGGACCTTATACTTTCCTTCCATGAGAATTTTGCTTAGGTGAAATCTAGGTTATCGTAATGAAGGTTGATGGAGGATATAAAGGAGAATCCTCCGGTCTTATATAGTTCTAATTATCTCTTTCTTAAATTTTTTTGAGGGAATCATCCACGTATCTGCTCAAAATTCACTCGTAACAATGAAGAGCATTTAAGAGAATTTACATACGCAAGTTTCAACCTGAAGTTCTAATATTGATTAAAAGTAAAGCGGCTCCGATGATTTGCATAAGTGTTGGAACCGGCGTTTATAAACTAGGTTTATTGGATTAATTGGAAAGTTAGTGAGTAATTTCGATAACATCGATAAATGACTTCAAAGAAGTTTACCCCTATATCTAAATTTATTGATTAGCACTAATAAACACTAATTAATTTTTAAACAGAGCAAACTAGAATATTCATTTGCATTAATCTATTTTTAATACTAGGTGTAGGTATATATAGGTATGTCAAATGAAACCAAATAAGCACTTACGCTTTATCAAAATTATTAATTTATAAACGCTTCTAAAATTATTAATTTACCGAATAATAGGGTATTTTCATTGAATACAATTGCCAATGGAGTTCAAAATTAATATTTCATAGTAGCATACATTACGTTCACCTCTTCGGGCGGCGGACTATTAATTTGTTACCTGACTACAGAGTCGATTGTCTCCTGCATAGCGAATTTAACAACAAATATTGAATATTCATAAATCGGTTTATTTTCCCTCTGGACATCAAAATTACAATCCAACTAGTTGAGTCCGTAAAGTACGACGACGATAACGCTTTTACAATTATTGTAGTAAAGTCATTGCAATAGTTCATTCTATCGTTCGGATATAAACCAATACTAAAAGCGGGTTATATCTGTTAATATAAATTTAATGTGAAATTTTAGTTTTATTAGCGATAATGTTAACGGTTTAAACATTATCAGCATAAATAATTTAAAGAGAATTAAATAATAGATATTTTGAGTGTCGATTCTGTCATCACCTTTGTTAATGACTCTAATGAGAAAATGTTTATAATCTTCAACCATTTTTCCATCTTTAAAATATTCCAAAAAAAATTACGATGTAATATTACTTTCTATCCTCTCTATTGTGCCTAAGTTAAGATAAAAAGTTTATTTGACACACATTCGTGAGCCACAATTTTCTGCGCTCCAATCACGATGGTCGTGTTTTATTGAAAACAGCAATCAATTTCTCTAACTCGGCGCTTCGAATTGACAAAAAAGGCCATCCGAAACGTGGAAAAGCGATCCAGTGCCGAACTGGGGTTGTGATTTATGAAAATTTCGCCCTTGAGGCCGGTCATGGAGGCGAAACGTGACGATATAGAGAGAGAGAATTAGGGAAGTCGAGTCGCTGGCTCTGCTACCGCCGCCGCCGCCGCCTTTGCCGCCCCGTGGAATCAGTGAGTTTGTAAAATTTACGATCGAGTCAAGTGCAGCAGTGTATTTTATACCCGGGGAAAGGCTAAAAACTCCCGCTACCCTTTTTACGACTAACTGCATGTTTTGGGGATAAGGAAAGAGATTACGCGAGGCGGTTTAATCGATGGCGGTCGAAGAAGAAATCGGAAAGGATCACGAGCGATTTTATCCCCTCGATAAATATAATTGGGTTCCGGTATAATTGCTACGTTCGGAGATGTTCCGATTGCTTCTGAATTCGACAACTTATTCTCGTTTACCAATCCCTCTCAGATTACTTCTTGTATATCTATCCAGATCAGAATTTTATTTATGACAGGCTTTACAAACCGTTTAATTTCAAAACAATAGGAAAGGCAATTTTCAAATAAATCCGAATGTTCAAATTAATCACTTATGGAAGCACCTATACTCACCCAACGAATATGTATTAAAAATAACAATGGATAATAAAGTGGATAATCCAAATGAATAAAATTCAAATAAATTCTAAATTTATTGACCTACATTGAAGTCGCGAATCGGTAGGTATCTCTGCAAAATCTTACATAACGGATACATTAGAAATCGAATGAGGCAGAGAACTTTAATGGTTTCCGTCGATAAAATAATAAAGCCTAAAAAAACTTTCACCGGTCTCATCAATTGTATCGCATCGCACTCAAAGTAATAATAACAGCTTCGAACGAAATAATAATCGGTTCTCTTGTCGATCGGTCGATATTAAAAACATATTTTGATAGTAAGTGTGCAGAATGAATTCCGGGAAATGTTTTTCTGCTATTAGGTACTTCATTTGAACCTATATTTGCAATTGCACTTGATGTGTTTTTATCAAAAACATCTGGTTGAGTCGGAATAGTGAAGTACTTAATTGAATTCGAAATATGATTGCCAAAAATCACGCACTGTAAGTTTTTGAAAAGTAGGTCAGTTGTATTGATAAATCGAATTTACAGCACCCCCAGTAATTATGAAACATTAATTTCGTTGTATTTGTAAAAATGTGTAATTGGTTTGAATAAGTTTGAAATACTAAAATATATCCATTTCATTTACCTATATAATAATAACCAATATGAAAATATTATATTGCATTTCGGTACTCGTTTAGTCAGTCGTTACAAATATTCGAGAAAGTCAATGTGGAAGTGACTTCCAGTCACGACTTCCAACGTATGAGTACTACTTACTAAAAATTAGGTTACATCTGCCGTCTTTTATTGCAAAGTGGTTGTGACAAAAACAGAAAGTACTTCAGACAAGTCACGTGCACGATTACATCCTTCATTTTAAGATAAAGTTGAAATTCATGTGAATTTAGACCTATTCGTCTTCAAATGTAATAAAAACATGTGATAATATTCCCATGCATTTTTTTACACTTAGACCAAAGCGCCACAGAATTTTCTATACGTGACTAGGTATACGAATGCATAAGGTAGACATTCACACGTTAAAGGAAATATCCGACACAAATTTAATCTAAACCCCTTCTATTTATAAGCGTTATAGCATCTTCCGATGAACAACAAACTACATACAGATGTTATCAAAGAAATTTCAGGTTCGAAAGTTTTTCGTTGTCAGTCACTAAAACTTTTCGTATTCCCGGTCTTTGACAAATGGATGCGACGATGTAGTAGTCTGTACGAGTCGATCATTAATCATATTCGTATGAGGCGAATAGAGCATAGAACCTCCCGGTCGGCGACTCGATTTGTCGTTTTGTATGCACGTTTTTGGTTTAATGAAAAATGCGGTCAAGCGTCGTTAAAGTCTCATCTCCGATGCACGGCCGTGTTTACTTCGAGAAGTGCGTTCATAAATCTTTGGGCATTTTTGTTATTGCAAGTCGAAAAGTTAATTTTCCGTATTGTAATGTTTGACCTACATTTTCACGTGCTTGGCGGAGAATGAGTGTGTTTCCTATAACCTAGGAAAGAATCACGATTCGCGGTATCGTGAATTAAGATAGTTCTTGGTACAAGAGGAATAAAAGATTCGAATTATTATATTGCATTTGCCAACGTGTCATACACCTTATTATTTTTTGCCATGTGGTTGGAACGATGATGAGAAAGTGAGATTCTAGCAGTTAATAGGGCGAAATATTTTCTGTGTAAGTCGCTATATTAAAATGAGTAAAATGACTAGAATGGTACATGACATATGTTGAATTATTGGAATATTAATAGATAACACCAAACAAAAAAAACCAAAAATTTTGATTACGGTATTATAATTAGATATTCTTCGTAAATATTTGCCTTTTATCATGTTTATACCAATAATGATAGTGACATGTTTGATATGTTTTCCTTATCATTTTCTCGAAAATTATATGACTAACAGCACTTTCAACGTTAAATACGAAAAATGTTGAATAGTTAGAGGTAATTACAAAAGGTCTTTAAATTGAGAAGTTTCCATTAGTCACTTCTTCGTCAGTAAAATATATAATTAAAACTTTCTACTTCGGTTTATTTCATTGTTAATGATGCACTCCCGAACAATAAGAAATTTCACGGTACGATTTTGGCTAAACACCTTTCGAAAAATTGTATTTAAAAAGCCCTTTGTTCGAAAAATGTCCGTTTCTCTAAATGAAAACAGGTATTCTTCATTCCTTAGCAAGTCAGTTATTCAACCAAACGGAAGAATTTTTATGCTCAACAAGACAATATGAAGATGAGAGTGAGACGAAAAAGGTATTCTTAGTTTATACAACTAGTACATTTGAACAAATAGAGCAAAGTTCATCATTACTTGGACGAATTTTTTGATTGAAGAAGTCGGAATATTATTGGGTACATTTTTTGCAATCATTCAATTCTCCCAATGTTGCTAGTCGCTTTACATTGACAATGAAATAACGTTTCATTGCATTTAGAACATTCAATGGCTTTTACACATTTTGTCGATTTCAACCGCAACTAATCGTAAAAATAAAGACGACGAAAGATCTCACTCACCCGAATGCGAAGAGTAAGAAAAAATCCAATTAGATAGTTCAATAAAGCATAAAGAATAACAGTTAACGAAAAGGCACAAAACACTAAATATACGTCGATAGAAAAATCACTGTTATCACAGTTGCGAAACCGATTGTCACAAATAAATCCTTCGATGTTAGTGGTCCTTCAATGCGAAGCTCCTTCAATTTACAGCGAAGGCGAAATTACGGAATTCAATGGAGGATGATTCGTGCTGAAAATTGCGTATCCGCGATGTAGAATAGAGAGCAAGAGTCGCGCGCGCGTAACCTCGACGACTGCCGGCTCTGAACTGAAAACTCCGTTCTGGTTCTGAAATTCTGAAGCGTTCTCTCCAACTCCGATGCTCGCCAGGATGGGTTGCAATCCCCTCCACTCGGCTCGGGAGCTTGAATAATGTCCTTTACCTGTGTGTATGGTGCTCACCAATTCTTATTGGTTTAGACTAGGAGGAGGTAGAGCAACAATAGGTGAGACAGGAAGTTTTCGAGAAAGAACTGTCGAATTTCCTCTATGTAAGTGTTTTGTAATTATTCGAGTTTCGATTTCGTCGATGTCGGTTCAACGTAAATAAACCAGGTGAAATGCGACACGACGTGTCGGGTAATTTGATTCCGCTGTTGTTGCACCGATTATGTTATGTTATAGGTGAATATCCCGGCGATTGTGGGTTGTGGAAGGAAATCTGGTTTTAGATTCTATATACCTGCATGATTATTAAATTAAATTTTGATCTCTACATACATAATAGATTTTGCAAAGCTTCGTAAAATATCTAAAATTTAAAAAACTGTACCTACAATAGAACATTCACAATAATTTTATGTAAAACTATGACATATGTAGATACATACATATAATGTGGGTAGTAGGGTTAATGAAAATAGCTAAATATTGAAATACCTTCACAATTAATAAAACAATTTTAATAAACTGTAAAATAATCACGAATTATTAGTTACAATTTCGTGCTTTTGATCTCTGAATTTTAAGTGAAAATGAACATATTATTTAGTTTTTAATATGTTTAATACAAACAATATATTTAATCGCAGGTTGGAATATTTCATTTTCAATTTATTATGCAATCTACATGAAAATGGCTGGTTTTATAAAAATTACAACAATGATCTTTTGTTATTTTCATTTAATAATGTTGGTTGCTAATCACTGATGTAATTAAATTCCAGTTTTTTTTACACAGACCTACAACCACGTCCACAGCGAATTGAGTATTTTTCAAATCTCTCCTGGGGATATTCCAACATTTTACAGGGTGGTACACTAGTATGGAAAAGTTCAATATATTTGTTATTGTAGGTATAATATTAAAATAAAACTTCTTCACAAAAGTTATATAGATATACTTTTAAATTTTGTAAATTTTCACGATATTTGCAATGTTGTAAAGATTTAAATTTATTTTTAATTCAATCCATTTCTATGCTCTAAATACTATTCGTTAATAAGTAGATAAAATATGAAAATTTGTACCAAAAAGTAAACGTATCAAGGTACTATCAAAAATTGACAACACAAGAGAAGAATGTAATTACAATTTGTTGTGTGCAGAACCCCAAAATGCATTGTATTGAGTGCATACGTACATATACGTACAAAACCACCTGCGTGCAATCCTCAATAACAATATTCCATATCCTGCCTCTCCTCTCAATCATCCAATTATAACGAACGTCTACACAATCCTCCCATTCACGTCAAAGCCAAAACCATTCGAAACGGCATGAAAAGAGTTATACCTTTTTCTCGATGCCCCAGGAATTGTCTTCGGACTTTTCTGTTTACCTTCAAATACAAAAGAACGCGTCGGAGATGTGTTAGCCGAAACCAAAATATTAGGAATGGGAAATTCACACCGCGCTCGCTCGGTCGCAACAAAAGGGTATAGACGTCGTGTATAAACGTGTTCGCCTTAAATTCCACCTCCGAATTTTCTGTTATTATTTCTGCTGGCAGATATAAAGGGGAAGAAAATCAAACGCAGAAAATTCGGACAGGGTTTTTAAGACGAACATATCTACTATTGTGCCTGGTGCCAACGTAATGGAACCAACGGAACAGAAAAGACTAGTATCATTATAGTAAGAAGGGTGGATTTCTTTATTAAATTGCTTCGTCTCATAAAGCAAAACAAACGTCTAACAATGAGTAAAAGGGACTGTCTGATTGATGAAACTAATTAATGGGGTAAAATGAAGGATAGAATCAGCAAAAAGTTCTTGTTTGCTGCGGTCGAAACATCCTTATAATTGTGTCAACTACTGGATATGTACATACATTGATATGAACAATACTTACGAAGTCATTAATTTAATAGGTATAGGTACTTAACAAACAGTCGTTTTTAAAATGTGTGAAGTAATATGTCTATAACTTAATATTGATTTAATAAAGAGGAGCCAATTTGTTCAAATTAATGTTGAACGCAAATAAATTATTTTGAAGTTAAATTTGTAGAAGAATTAATTTCAAAGAAAAAAAAACCGTTTCTGTTATATTAGAGTAGGCACATACGCAAGTATAGTCATACAAAAATTCCGTGAGTGCTCCTCCGTGAACGCTTTGTTTATAATTAGAATAACGACGCGACGCGTCGAAATTGTGAGGCTCTTCGGGGGTCGAATAACAACCCCTATTGCATTCGTATCCTAAGTAGGAAATTACTCGAATTGTTAAGAGGGGCGTTGCTTCATTCCCTACATGTCGTATATGAAGCGAACAATCGTTGGTTTTAATTAAAATAAATGGTAACAAGTGGTGTCAAATAAATATCTGATAAATTGGGGGTTTACAAAAAAATTGCACAAAATTGGACCATTAGAGTATTAATTTTATATGAGCACTTGCAAATATTAAAATACCTACAATGCACTACTTTATAATATAAAAAGATTCTATAAGCAGCTGATGTTAACTTTGTTTATATGATACATAGTAATTCAATGTACACTTGAGTACATATAGGTACACATAAGTACATATTTTTATTATAATTTAAACTAATATAAGACCTTAATATATAATAAAATGTACCTAAAACCCTATATATTTCCCGTAGTTGATTAATTATTGTCGATTATTTATGGTGGAACCCTTAAAATGAAATCTAGACCCGTCTCATTTTTAGAATCACTTTAACGACACTCGGTTTTGTAGTAATAAAAACATCATTTTGATTTATTAACAAGCCCCGTTCTTGCCCCTTATTGCGTTTATGGCCCAATTTTTGCTTTTGTGGCTCGGTGGCACGGAGCGGTTTGTGCCTCGTTTTACAAGCCTCAACTCTACTTTCGGTGTTACGAGAAACGAATCTCAAACTTCCGTAATTACGAACGAGTTATTGCTCATTATGATGCTATTTGCCCGCATTAGCATAAAAGAGCGCAAAAAAACGCGAGTGTAAAAGTTTAATTAAATACACCTACTTTTCGGAGTCGGGGTTCTTTATGAAAGTAGATATAAATAAAACAAAAAGAAATGAAAAGTTGTGTATTATGGACTTGCTTACTCGTTATTGCGTACTTATACTATTCGTGCATTTCCGTATTGTTTCAGTAGAATTTTATGGGGCACATTTAAATTGCCTCTTATTTTATTGCCTTAGGGAAGGTTGCTATGTTTACGAATTTTTAGATTTAAAATTTAATAAATTCAGGGCTATTTAGATAACCAAAATAATACTAAATTTTGGATGATAAGAGAAAATGTAATTGAAAGAACAAGCGATTGGATAAAAATGGCAAGACAATATTATATTGTATATAGCATAAATGCAGCATGAATGCAGTTCGGTTTTTTAATAGTACCTTTAGAAGATATCGCAATGAATTTGTCTCTTGTTAAAACCTTTTATATTATTTTTTCACACCGTTATTGTTGATAACTGAATATACTGAACTGAATATAACTAGAATTATACCAGTAGGAAACAATACAAATTGTTGGTAATTCCCTGTTTACTTGAAGCGAACAACCATCTGCTTCACTAAGTACACCGTATTTTATTTCTTCTTCATCAGTCTTGACACTTTTATTGTAAGGGAGCTATTGAACGGCTTTCTGGGAACCTCGGTTGACCCATTTTCAAATAGAAACAAGTGTTCCATTTACTGATAATTCCTCTGGCCACTGATTTACTACCGTTCGGTGCCGCAATCGACACCGCCCGTTTCCCCCTGCCGGGGCGACGCGCCTTCAACGTAACTTTTACACCAACTTTCCACGTAATTTTCTCTGATAATGTTGTCAATGTTGACGACAGGACCGTAAAGTCGGGGATTTTATTGGGTTACTCGGCTTTCACAAAACGGGGCATTAGTGGCGCACTTTCTAAATTTTAGAAAACGATTTTGTTATGGTTCTTAGTTCTACCAAGGGTGGCATATCATTGTATTATAACAATGACTATATTATATTTTTTTCTTTTCTTTTTATAGGAATAGGCCTCATTTAATAGGTATAGTTGGTAAATTAAATTTATTTAGGAAAATATCGCTTGTCGAATATTATTTATACATATCAATACCTAATACTCACAAAAGTGCCACATACGCATTGTGGCTAGAACATTAAATTAACAATAAACATATAATAAAGTTAAATTGTGAAAATGTCAAATGCTGTAATTTACGAAGGGAATAAATTACGAAGTTCCTCAAACGTTGTGACACCTGATTTAAGTTTTAATTGCTAAAGTTATCTAGCGAAACTTTTACAAGCACATGTAAAAGGACCATTCATCAAAGCTTTTAATGATTTTCTGAATAATTGCGACACTGTAATTGTGTATTTAAATGGAATAACATTCGACTGTTTCAATGTAGTCACTGCGAATTCGATAAATAGCCGAGAGAATAGTCGCAGACGCTACCGAAGATTCATTATTTCGAGCGAGAAGTTTTCAGTCGACGACGAAGCATAAAGGAAAGTTTTTAACAAAATGTTAATAATCCTCTTAAGTACTCTAGAATTTATGTGGAATTTTTCAGAGAATTATTTCATAGATGATTGATTATTTCTATACTTACAAAAATTAGTCATATAAATGTTTCTAAATTATTAAGTTTCAAGAAATAATCAATCACATTGTACATAATTTTGAAATTAATGTTTAGAAGTGTCACTTGGTTAGTTATTATAGAAGAAATATATTAGTTTTGAAAAGAAAGTAAATAAAAAATATAAAGATATTATCTTATCTTTTATTATCTTGGATTCTTATTCCCACAATAAAATTATGTTTATACTCCAAATTT